CTAGCGGGGTTATACAAATGAATCTGCTCGATTCGTCACAGAGTGTTTCGTACACCTGCATCACAGTACACGCTATTGACGTCTGTGATCGGGAAGGGCGGTAACACGTTGCGATGGACCGACGCGAAGGTTGAGCGCGGGCAATGGCCCACGCTCACGTTTGCCGAAATGAACGCTGACTCCATACAAAGATTAATGGAACTCGGCTCACCCTCTCTCTCTCTCTGCGCCAATTCGAATGCAGGCTCAGAGATCGAGCGTCGTGACCGCCGTTTAGTTATTAGGACAAATGTGACCAAGATCGAATCGCGGAGATATCAGCCACGTTCTGGAGATGCGACCAACTAATATCCCCGGTTGCAGTGTAAGTAGTGGGGCGACACCAGCCCAATTGACCCGGATCATCGACGCGCACGAGGGGAGAGTAGCGAAAGAGTTAGCGACGATCCCCGCCCATACACGCGGCGCTGGGATCGACAAGGGGTCGGGGAAGGGAGGGAGATCCAGCACACTCATGCATTCTTGCAGACGGTCGACACCCAGCGTTCCACAGAGTTGCGCCTGTGAGCTCCCACACATCTACTCATTCACCTATCTTGGACTGTCACAGTGAAAAATTCAACATCCATAGACTCTCGCACCACAGCATACATACAACAGAATACCCATACCTCGGGACATTGGACACATCACATTTGGACAAAGCAGCAATGGAGATAAAAGTGAGTTCCTCACTATTCAAAATTTTACACACGGCTGACCTCCCTCAGGCGCAGCCCCCAATCAATCTGAACCTCCACCAACCATAGCCACAAGGCCCTGCCGCAAGCGGCCTTTGATCTCCACCACCGCTCAGTCACTCCAACTGTCTTACCCTAAGTCTACCGCTAAGTCCGTCCCATGTCGTCACTCCGCCCGTCGCTGGGCATGTGAAGCATGTTCGACGTCGAGGACCTCGCGCATAGCTCGCACAGCATTGCAGTCGAGATCAAAGAGAAGGAGAGGAAGTGACTGCGAGAATTTATAGCGCGAAAAGTGATGGGGTGGCAGTGCGAGGTGCGGGTAGCAAGGGGTGTAGATGAGTAGGACAAAAGAAAGGTTGAGGTTCTAGGAGGATTGAAAAGGTAAGTCGAAAGTTCCGTATGATTAGGGTGGTCGTTCAAGTGGTGCGCGCTTTCCGCTTTCACCACATTGATCCGACCATCCCAACTACACAGCCAATCGCTTTCGATGATGGGTAAGGAGAGGATCGGACTTCGTTCACAGGAAGACGAAGACGCATGCAAAATGGGAGTGCGCAACAAGAAGGGATGATGGTACGGAGATGCAAAGCGGGGCATAGAAATTAGAAAAACAGTCGCGTACGTGTTATTACACAAGAATTTGAAATTTTCGCCCACACTAATTCCTAACCGTTTCTTGGATTTCTCGGCGCGATTGCTAACCGTCCGCGCGGAAAAGTCATCAGGGGCAGTTCTGAAAAATACAAATTTCTTTTCCGTCCCCTCCTATGAAAAGAAGGAGAAAAAAAGGGAAACAGACCCTGCTTTCACGATCGACCAAAATCCGTACTTAGAGGCTTACTTGGGATTTTTCCCCTAAGGGTACGAAAAGCCGCTGAGTACGGATCCTGGCTTGTCACAACGTCATCTGAGACATGGGCGGGTCTGGTTGGCTCGCGATTCCCTGCATTGGAGAGATAGCAAAAAGAAGGGGTACCCGAAAAGAGCCCAAGAGAAATCCGACAAGTCAGAACAACAAGTACTCTGAGCTTCAAAAAATCGTTTGGGTATGGAAGTTGGTACGTCACATGCGAGCTGTAGATAGCGGCGAACCAGAGCGTAATGCTTTTATCATAGTGGAGAGAATTTCGTGATTGATATTTCTCTCACTGTCATTGGTTGTCCATGTTAGTGGGGTAGTGTTTTCATGAATCGAGTTTTTTTCATTCCTAACGGGTCTGTTGATAGGTCAGGAAGGAAAACCGGTTCGGAAACAGGTAAGTGCTTGGAAAAAAAAAAAAAAAAAAAAAAAAAAAAACGGCCTCCGGTTGTATCAATGTAAGGCAGTTGTGTCAATCTGAGACTGCATTTCGACTGTGTAGTGGACATACTGTGATGCTACGGTGACAAGGGTTTATGCAAGGGTGGGGCCTTGACACACACACAATCAACAGTGTATATGGACTTATTCTGGACCTAATACATTGAAAATGTTGGACTTGTCCTAATGGATGTCGTAGAGGAATTTTGGTGATAAAAGCTCTGCAAGTCTGTCACACACCGCCACACCCTGTCGCATCCTGCCACACTGGTCTAGGAATCTAAGCCAAACCCATGCCAGTGGGACTTGGCCAATAGTATTATTGTGACCGCCGCTAGCACGTAGTCACTTCAGCGCGCCCAATAACCCTTGGAGCGCGCTTACTAACGTAGCCAATTTTCGACGAGTTCTCAAAGTTTGGCTGTCATTCTTGTCTGGTTACCATCCTCATGCTAATCATCATGCTAATATCGTTCCCTTTTTATTTATATATATATCGTCAAACATATATATATATATCCTCTTCTCTCTCTGTGCCTACGGTTTACCAAGCAGTTCTGTTTGTGACGATATATATATATATATATATATATTCATATAGGATTATCATTTAGGATTTGCTTTGCAGCCCCTTGTTCTGTTTTGTTTGGGCTGTTTCCTTCCTCTTTTCTTTGCCTCTTTGCCTTTTGGCTGTGTGCAAGTGGGTCGATATGACACACGGGGGTGGGGGCAGCCGCCGCTCAATCTACATCTACGTGGGCGGCCTTGTACGCAAGAGGTTTTGAACAGGGGGAGTTGTAAGGAATTCTTTTGTTTGTTTTTTTCGCTTTTGCGCTCTGATATCTATGTGACGATATATATATATATATTAATGAAGCTGCAGTTTACATTATGAAGAGTTGGAGAACCGAGGTCAGGAACATCTCAACCCAGAATTCCTGGGGCCAATACCCAGTTTAGGTTTTGCTGGAAACCGGGTCCCGTGTCTCATGTACGACAACTTCAACAAAAGGGAGAAAATAGCAGCTGGACTAACAAATTTCTAAAGATGCAACCATTAAGCGAACTAATCAATAATCTTGCTATTCTGACTGGGAGCCTTACCCAGCTTTGCTTAAAGATCTTACAGAAAAGAGGACAGTTCCCAACCTACTCTCAATGAAGGAATTCGCAGGAGACAACAACCTAATGTGAATAGTCAAGAACGGACAAGATACCCAATGATCTAAAGCAAAAAACAGAGTTCGATCTGGAGCAAGTGATTTGGAGAACTCCCTAGACAGATCCACCAAACAGGAGAAGCAAAGCCAATACCAAAGGAGCGGCCCGTCGGACCAGCTAATAGTCGTGTGGAGCCTGGGTTGCCATGACGAGGTTTCCCACCTTGTACCCTTGGGCCTTTGTAGGAAGTATCATATTCCAGGCGCTCTAGATCTCAATGGGTACAACCCAAGTTTGCTCTCTTATCAGCTAAACACTAATCAGTCGTGCCCTAAATAGCTCAGCAATGCTGCCACAACCACTAGTAGGTCTCCCACTACCTCCAGTAGTTCTGTTGCCTGCTATGGACAAGTCCAGTATAGATACCAAGGAAGAAGATCCAACAAAGAGCTACCAAATGTGTTGGAAACTAGAGAAGAGACAAAAGTAAACGAAAGAACACCAACAATCAAGTTCACACCCCAGTGAAGCCGACTTCTCTCGTGTGCTAGAGTGCACGCTACAGCCAGAGATAAGAGGGGAGCAGGGATCTGGCCTCTGAATCCGGTCAGATCCGAAACACCATGAAATCTACACCACCGCCAGAGATAGAGGAGAAGCAGGAATCCGGCCTATGAATTCGGCTAGATGCGAAGTGCCAAGAGATCTTCCCCGATGCTAAATTCCTTGCTCATTCATGTGAAGTGCTGCCAGGACGAAGCAATCAAACAAGGATGAGAGATGAGCAACAGATAGCACCCTATCAGTGAGGGGGCAGAGGAAGCTATTGTCGAGGATTTAAGAATTCTCCAAAATACTATACAATACTAATAGGGGACTGCCATTTTGTGAGAGGAAGAGAGGTGAATCAAGCCATAAGAAGGACTGAATACAAAGTGTTGAAAAAGAGAAAATAAGCAAGCTGCGAGAGGCATAGAGGAGAGAAGGAAGAGAATTCCACGTTCAAGAGATCAATGAAACGGCCCAGATAAGGAGGGGCTGATGTAACTAGAGCAAAGAAGGGTAAGTAGAGTGGGTGTCTCTAGGTGTCACGGTTTCCTCAAGTCTCTCTCGAGTTGTGGTGGGGGACGATGAGAAAGGGAGGCACAGCTACTGGCAGGTCTCGGTCTTTGTGTTAGCCAGACCCCCACTGGCGGCCCCAACCCTATACCCTAACCATTAGGGGCAAGGGGCAACATGAAATCTCCCCTTCACAGAGAGAGGAAACTATGCTTGCAGGGGTGCCCTCTAGATAGTCTTAGGAGTAGGTAGTGGAAGGTAAAGAAACAGAAGTTGAGAGA